AGTGACCAGCTACAGATGCCCAAAACATGAGCTAGTGTTGTTATCCCAATGTGCAGAGGAGGAAACCTCCACAGGGAAGGCGTAAGCAGCTGCTCAGACTCCTGTACTGGGTCAGCCATAGCTCCCACCCCTCCCCACTAAACAGCCTGTGGTTGGGCACCAGGAGTCCCTGCCTGCTTACCAGAAGGCTGTTCCCAGCTCAGAGTTTACTCCTGTATAGAACTGGCATTACATTAATAAGAAGTGATTATTCTTCGGCTTTCACAAGTGCTGTCATCGTTGTTTCCCCAGTTAAATCAGAAGCTTCCTACAAGATAGATCATCAAAACTCCCTCAGACTCGGTTTCTCAGAGTCCAATGCCACATTCCAAATCACTTACAAGTCAGTACCCTGGGGAGTCTCCAACTTGAGTTGTAACTGTTGTATATTCACAAACAGAATGCCTACTGAGAATGCTAGCTAAATGGGGGTGGGACAAGAAAATATTGGTTAAATTCTAAAATACCAGGGGTGCCTGACTGGCTCAGCTGGAAGAGCCATGCGGCTCTTGATCTTGGGGTCGGGAGTTTGAGCCCCACTCTGGGTGTAGAGATTACTAAAAATAAATACCAAATAAAATAATAATTTTAATTGGGGAAAAATTTTTTGATTGGGTATTAGGCCTCTAACTGGTATGTAATCTGGTTTTCTTTCTTCGTATCTCCCTCCCTTCCTCCTTCCCTTCCCTCTCTTTCTTATGGTCTGAATTTTCTACCTGATGACCCGTTTGTGTTTCCCATGCCTCTAAGCTGGCCAAGGCCATTCTCAACCCATAGGGCCCAGTTAGGCTGGGTTCTGCATTTACCCAGCTATGTTATATTTTCTCTACTGCTCCCCTCCCGGGGCTCCAGAAGGCCCAGGGTCTTCCCTGTAGTCCCTGCCTCAGCTGTTCTCTTCACATCAGAGCTGGGCACTGGCTCCCTGGCCCCCTCTGAGCCCTCCGAACAGGCCCAGTTCAACCTGCACTCCCCCGCCCCGGGAGGCAGCTTCTCACCCAAGTGCCTATGAGGGCAGGCACTCCACTGGGCTCTGCTTACTTTTCTTAGCCAGTACTAGAAGTAATGAGGACTCCAGTTTCTTTTCTTTCTTTCTTAAGATTTTATTTATTTATTTGAGATGGAGAGAGAGCACAAGCAGGGGGAGCAGCAGAGGGAGAGGGAGAAGCAAGCTCCCTGTTGAGCAGAGAGCCCAATGTGGGGCTCAATCCCAGGACCCTAGGATCATGACCTGAGCCGAAGGCAGATGCTTAACCGACTGAGCCACACAGGCGCCCAGGACTCGTTTCTTTTATCTGAAGGCCTACCTCTGGTCACTGGTGCAGGTTCCTTCCCACTGCCCATAGTTTCGTGTGTGTTTTCTACTTTTGCATTCAATAAATACCTTTCAATAGCATACATCTTTGTCTATGATCTCACCTCGCCCACTTATATTGTGACATTCAGGAGGGTCACAGTTCAAAAATAATATATTACCTCTCACAGAAACCATGTTCATTATATGCCCATAGATGTTAGAATACAAGAATCCCAGACTCTCTCTTTCCTGGATTATAGGATCTGTTCCTTCGCTATATGCCCTAAAGGTTTTCACATTTAAGTGAGAGAATACCTGTTCCCATTTACCAATACCATAATCAGGCCAAGTCAATTCTTAATGATGCCACAAAGTCCCATGGGGCCTCAGCAGCTATAAATAAACTGTTTACCTAAAAATTCTTTTCTGAATATGTGTCAACATAAAAAGAGTAAATTCTAACATCCTACGTATAAACCCTTTATATGATCTGGGAACAAAGAACCCTAGAGCTACTATTGAGAGAAGAAACCGGGGACAGGAAGGTACATCTCTTCAGAGCCTCCAAATCTCTGTATTTTTCACCTGTAGGAATGAATACTTGCCCAGTGTTCCATACCAAAAGACCAATGGGAGAATCAAATAAGATAATGACTGTGAAAACACTTGATAATAAATGTTAAATGATACAAATGCTACAAAAGGAATTGAGTATGAACCTAGAACTATTTACTAGCTGGTCTGCCCTAAAAGATTGAGCTTTTCAAACCTTACTAGGACACCAGGAAAACTCTCAAGAGGAGGAAAAAGCCCTGTTCCTGGATATGGTGTGGACAAGAATTTGTTCTCCTTGGCACGGTTTACAATTCAGCATTGATAAGGGTAAACCCTGCACCAGGGGCCAGTTTTGCATGCCATTCAATGAATGGACATGCAGAAGTGCCATCTGCCTTAGGTAAACAGCCACTTGACTGGCCCTGCTCTGCTCCCAGACTTCAGGGAAGCTGGAATGTAGAGAGGGGCAAGGGAGTGACACTCATGGACCTGTCAGTTTACTGGGGCACTTCTGGGCTCCTGCTAACTACTGATTATTGCTATAGACTCAGCTCACCTTTGGGAATGGCAAGGCAACCAGGCCTTGCACAAAGGGCATGGTCTTTAGAGCTTTAAAGATTTGGGATTGAGATCTGGACTCCCAATGTTTAGTAGTTGCATGGCTGTAGTAAGTCATAACTCCTTGAAGGCTGAGTCTCCTCATCCATAAATAGGGTAACTCCCTTTGCCTCACATTTTCAAGTGCGCTGTAAGGACTAAATGAGCTAATGTGCATATAAGTGTTTCATGAAATGTAAGGCTGCCTCAAATGTTGATGGTCTCCTACTGAAGAAGTTGCTGAAGAAAATGAGCAGCTAAGGGGTGCCTGGATGGCTCAGTTGGTTAAGCATGTGCCTTTGGCTCAGATCATGATCCCAGGGTCCTGGGATTGAGCCCCCACATTGGGCTCCCTGAGGGAGCCTGCTTCTCCCTCTCCCTGCCACTCCCCCTGCTTGTGCACCAACTGTCAAATAAATAAAATCTTTAAGAAAAAAAAAAAAAGAAAATGAGCAGCTGAGTGATTATGAAACACTGAGAAAGATGACAAAATCCCAGTGAATCAACAGATAATTCTGAGCAAGTCACACCCAAGGTCTTCTGAGTTGGCCCTCATTCTCTGGCGGTGCCAGAAAATGGGAATACCTGTTCTTTCCAAGGAGAGACATGTGACCACTGCAGCTAGAAAATCCTCATTGTAGATGCTGCTGAGCCAGATGCTGGGAGCAGTGGGTCGGGGTGAATCCGCTCTGACCCAACAAGGCACCTGATAAGAGGTGCCTCCCAAAACTCTGAGGAAACCATATCATCTACGTCAACAGCTTTTTAGTTTATACTAGGAATGGCCTGGAGTCTCTGCTGAACTCTGGTGCTGCCACTCCTCAGGAAATCTTACACACAACCTTCATCCCTTTCATTTTAATCACTGGGTAAATTCAGTCCCACAGTTCATTGACTGGATGACTATTAACCTCTTGATAAAGAGCGAGTTTCAGACAAGGAATCCTGGGAAAGTAGAGACTCCAGGGACACAAAACTCTTGCATCAGATTTACTAAGCACACATTTGCACATCTGGACAATAAGCAACCTGAAAACAAAACAACAACTAGTCCAAAGGCACTAGCCTCTTAGTAACCTCAAAAACTGACCGCTCAGGAAGTCTAAAACTTCTTGGGCAAGCTCTCTTTTTACTGGGGGGTGGGGGGTGTACTCATCTCCAGCATGTTAAAATACAATTGAGCAAGCATTCAAAAGCAGACATTGGGGATGAAACCTGAAGCACTGAAAAGAGCTCAGAGTAGGGGCCAAGAGTCTACTGTTGCTGCTCCCAAGGGAAGTCCTGGTAAAAAGAATTCCTACTATGAATGAAATAAATATGAGACTCTCCTGTTCCCTGAGCGTAACCCCACCTCATAGGAGAGGACCAGGACTCAGGGCTGAGAAGAGGAAGACTCTTTCCCATGAGAAGCACCTGGGGTGGGGGCTGAAGCCCTGACTGAATTCTAAAATGGATAGGATCACATTTTATAAGAATAAAGCCTAGGCACCAGACATCCCACAAGGGCTGGTTTTAACAAAGGAAATGCTGACATGACCATGAGTCACCCCCAGGTACCATCAAGTGAAAATTATTCCAACTTTGGAACAATCCTGAAAACATGTCCTGTGGCTTAAGCGGAGTCTTTATTCCCTTTCGCTCAGGTGTAACAGTTGTCACATGTGGCTTCAGCTTCTCTCATAGATACGATGACTATGAACAGCATTTGGGGGTGGAGGGAGAGTGGCTAATTAGGATGCTTCTGCTGAATCTTCATTTTGGAAAATGAGATGCTATCGGCTCCCAGGTGCTTTCCTCTCCACAAAGAGACTCAACAGCGGCTCAGCAGCACCCCTGTAAAAACAGAAGGTCCTCGAATCCACCCTGGGAGGATGGTAGAGAGGAAGAGTGCCAGACTGAACTCTAACAGACCTGGGCACACAAGGCTAAGTCACTTTCAAACAGGGTCCCAATGACTGGGAAGAAATGAAGATTAAGAGATTTAAGTAATATGGCCAAGGTCACTTAGAAAGTTAATCATGGAGTTGGGACCAAGTCCTTCCTGAATTCAAGCTCATTCCTCCTGTGTCCCAGCTAACATGCATGTGCAATTAGTATGATGTCACCACAGACTACTAGCAAATGGTAAATGAGGCTATACTACACTGCATTTACGTGTACTCACTACACCACTGAGTGCCATTTGTTTTTTAGTATGAAAAGTTAGCTCAATCCTGTTTCCTGAGAAGTAAATGCTCAGGCTCCCATTGGAAGCTTCAGAAGCTGGTGCTGCCCTTGGGCGCCCGGGTGGCTCAGTTGGTTAAGCGACTGCCTTCGGCTCAGGTCATGATCCTGGAGTCCCGGGATCGAGTCCCACATCGGGCTCCCTGCTCAGCAGGGAGTCTGCTTCTCCCTCTGACGCTCTTCCCTCTCGTGCTCTCTGGCTCTCATTCTCTCTCTCTCAAATAAATAAATAAAATCTTTAAAAAAAAAAAAAAAAAAAAGAAGCTGGTGCTGCCCATCCCACAACACTCACCTTCACTTGCTTAGATTACACGGCAACCCGAGAAGATTGTTCCCTGGCAAGTCCTGCTTTTGTTGACTAGCAGGGCAGGCCAAGGCTGGAGACAGCTGGTCCCAGAGGCGAGGACAGCATCTCTACCACTCAGTGCATGAAGAGAAGCAGCCAGACCGGCCAGGCCTTGGTGGACAATGAAGCCAGAGACTCACGGCATCCCTGTACCAAGGAGAGGTCACAATAGGATCTGCACATCTCTATAGCATCTATCACCATAGTAACTACAGAGAAATAGAAGATCTGGTTTCAAGAATCTAAAAGCATGTTCTCCATGTGCTGTTTAAAGTCTATTCAGTCCTGGGGTGCCTGGGTGGCTCAGTCGGTTAAGCACTGGACTCTTGGTTTCAACTCAGGTTGTGATCTTATGGATCGTGGGATGGAGGCCCGCGTCCGGCTCTACCCTCAGCAGGGATCTGCCTGGAGACTCTCTCCCTCTGCCCCTCCCTGCCTCATAAATAAATAAATCTTTAAAAAAAATCTATTCGGTCCCATCTTTGCCTACTAAAAATATATGTCTAACTTGGGAAGAGTAGTGCAATGGATAGGAAGTATGTCAACATAAACTTCATGTAAGATTAGGAACTCCACAGGCCAAGGTATTGGTCAATCTAACAAGGTGGTTCCTATATCTCACTTTAGACCTGTAAGGGATTTTAACATGTTCCCACAGGCCTACAGAGTTAGGTATTATTCCCAGGCTTTTTCACAATGACTGCCTAGATTCTGACAGCAGGGGGGAAGGGGTGGGTGAGAGGAGTAGGGGCAAGGAAACAAGCCCAGCCTCAGAACCAGTAACTCCAAGAGGCTGGCTCCATCCTACAAAAGCTTTGTCTATGGCAGCAGAGGACCAGCAACAGCAGCTATTGGGACTTTGTCTCAGAGTAAGGAGTTCAGCTTTTCCAGTGAGCCCTACCTCCACTGGTAGAGGGGTCAGGGGCACAGAGCAGTCTAATAGCAAGCATACGCATACAAGTCCTTTCTGCACAACACAATGCTGATATGCTGATGTGACACAGGAGGAGGCAAGGCAACAACTGCACTGCATGGATGACCTGTGGCAGGCACCCAACAAATGTTACTTGAACTGAGCTCAGCCAAGAAAGAATCCATTGGCCACAAAAGCCAAAAGGAAAAGCAGGGAAGTGGTCAAGGCCCAAGCTCTAGTCAGGCATAACTGAAAACACAGCTTGGTTCTGTCACACACCAGCTGGGTGGCCTTAGACCAGCTACTTCTCAGAATCTCAGTTTCTTCACCTGTAAGGATAGTAGTAACAACTCTGCAAGGTAGATACGAGAATTTAATGAGATAAATTACTTATAGAACTGCAACATATTGTATAATGTTAATCGAAGAAAGTGTCCCTTAAAGTTTGAAGTTAATGAATGTTCCCTTTATGCATTTTTAGATTTTATTTATTTTGTCAGAGAGAGTAAGCAAGTGCACAAGCTGGCGGAGTGGCAGGCAGAGGGAGAAGTAGGCTCCCCGTTGAGCAGGACCCTGGGATCATGACCTGAGCCAAAGGCAGACACTTAACTGACTGAGCCGCTCAGGCAACCCCCTATATACTTTTAGACAAGAAATGGAAATACCCCTGTCTCAATGAAAACCCTTACAGGCAACATCAAATCTGTACTGGGGTCCCACACTTTGTGTTGAAGGCTCACTGTGAAGAACCTCTATTTTCATTCTGATAACACTCTAGATACTGAGAAAGGAATAGAAAAATCTTGGAATTTCTAGCAAAATAAATTTTGCAAAAGATCTAAAATTTTTTTTAAAAGATTTTATTTCTTTGACAGACACAGCAAGAGAGGGAACACAAGCAGGGGGAGCGGGAGAGGGAGAAGCAGACCTCCCGCTGAGCAGGGAGCCCGATGCGGGGCTCTATCCCAGGATGCTGGGATCATGACCCGAGCGGAAGGCAGACGCCCAACGACTGAGCCACCCAGGCGCCCCTTTGCAAAGGATCTAAAAGAAGATAATCACCTAAGTTCAAACTCTTTCAGGAACACTCTGAACATGAGTTAGATGAAGGTCCCCTTCATGCTATGGTCAGGATGGAGGACAGGGCATGTTGTTTTGTTTCTTTAGAATAGCTCATCACTATAAGTAAAGGTTTAGGTAACTGAAATATTTACTTGACTTTGTAATAAATCTGATTTGCTCTTACATCTCATGACACTCAATCCCCAACCCAATGGTTGTCAGTTGGGGACCATTCTGGCATACACCTACCCCCACAGGTTATCTGGCAATGTCTGGAGACATGTTTGGTTGTCACAACTGGGGGGTGGGCCATTCAACTGGTATCTAGTGGGTAGAGGCCAGGGATGCTGCTCAACACCCTGCAATGCACAGAAAGCACAAACACAAGGGCACGTATGCACACACATGCACATGTGCACTCACACACCCACCACCACCACAAACCATTATCCAGGCCAAAATGTCAATAGCACCAAGGCTGAAAAACCCTGCTTGAATCTCAGAAGCAGCACTAAGGTCATTCAAGAAAGGACATGCATCTAATACTCTTCTTATCCCTTCATCAGTTTACAAAGACAAGATGAGATTTTGGCACTATGCTTCACATTGTTTGTCACACCTTTATCAAATATCCTTTACAGAGATTTCTGGGGAAACTGAATTTACACCAGAAAACAGAAGAGGTGTTACTAGATAGGGAAACTTGGCACTGTCCACAGATGACAATGAAAGGGGTCACAGTACCTTCCTGGGAATAGGATTGATTTGTATTTGGATCACTAGGAGGCAAAATCTTTAAAGCTTCAAGCTCAGTAACAAAGTCAGGTAGAGGTGAAGCCCGACAGTACTGACTTCTTTGTGGAATGGAACAAAATACTGGAAGAAATCTAATGATCATTTATCAGTCTGGTGCATGACTGACAAGCAGGCTAAGAATCAGGAGAACTAAGTTTTATTACCAAGCCTGCACTGGCTAGCTGTATTATAGGACTTTCCGGAAATTCCAACATCTTCATTTATAAAACGAGAGGCAGGCACCAGGGTGGCTCAATCGGTTAAGCACCTGCCTTCAGCTCAGGTCATGATCCTGGGGTCCTGGGATCAAGCCCCACATGGAGCTCCCTGCTCATCAGGGAGCCTGCTTCTCCCTCTCCCTCTGCCCCTCCCCCATCCATGCTCGCTCTCTCAAATAAATAAAATTAAAAATAAATAAATGAGAGGCATTCCTCAGTAAGGTGCAGGAAGGATGGTATTTATCATGAGGAAGAGCAGGAAAATCGTGGGCTTCCCCCAACTGTTTCAGCCAGAGCAGCTCCCCTATTCCTTGCTAATCTTTCTTCAAAAATGGGGTTGTGTTACTTCTAAAAATAAGGTACTGAAAACAATGAGCTTGATGATCTTGGAGGCCTGATATTAAGAGTTACCTAAACAAGACTTTTATGACCTATTATAGCACTCGTATCCCGTTACAGTATTTATTAGTACTTACTTATTTACATTCCAGATTACTGCTCGTTTACCTTTTTCTCCTACTACCCAACACAGGGCACCCAATCAGGGTTTGCTTAGTCAATGAATGATTTCCAGAATTTGAAGTATTCTCAAAATTAAGGTATTCTCAAAGAGCAGATGACAAAAATGAGTCCCAGAGGGGTGCCTGGCTGGCTCCGTTGGTAGAGCATGCAACTCTTGATCTCAGGGTCCTAGTTCAAGTCCCACATTAGGTGTGGAGTCTACTTAAAAAAAAGAAAGAAAAAAAGAAAGAAAGAATCCCAGAAATAAGAAAAATGTCTGGCTAATGAGTAAGCATTTTTACTACAGAAATTTCTACTGATGGGGGTGAGGGATTAGATTGGCCATGTCGCAGAACCAAACATGTGATGCTCTGTGCTCAACTAACAGTTTCATATTTGAAGGAGAAATGTTGCATTGCATTGGTTTCAGGGACTGTGAAAGCCTCATTGGAAGCAGAACACTGCCTTATGGCATCCTCCCCCCACCCCTTTCTTTTTAAAAAAATGGACTGGCAAAATTTTAATAGTCAAGGTAACAAATGCTTGCCAGCATTCCTCCACCCCAGGCAAGCACAAACCACCTGACACTTCCTGATATCTACCACTGTAAAAACCCTTTGTTCCTCCAGCTGGCTCTAGAGAGAAGGGATACACAGCAGTATTTTCATGTTTGTTACTCTAGGGAAGGGGTAAGCCCAAAGAATGTAACAGCTGTAGAACCTCCTAACAAGCTCACATCCTGTCTCCAAGCACATTTTGGAGGAAATACACCAAGGAATAAGATTATCATTATTAAGAGGGGAAAAAGCAAAAATGCTACAGTGATCACAACTTACTGAAAGAAAACAAAGAAACAACAGTTTGCCACTGTAAAACTGAATAACTTCCTCTTCCATGAGGCAGCCCCCACAAACTACATGAATTAAAGATACATGAAGTGGGTGCCTATAATTCCCAAAAGTTCCCAAGAACTGGTCAAACATCACTGTCTCTATTAATCATTATCAAGAAAAAATTCAAGTAGCCCAGAACATCTACGGTTGCCAAAGGACACGATTAGGCAATAATGAATGAATAACTTTAGGAAAAAAGAAGGTAGACAAGGTGGGGAAGGCAAATACTCAACAACTTATAGGCAAAGAAAGGCAGGGGACCATGTGCTCCAGGGTTCTGTGACATATCTCAGCTCCCCCACTTTTTTTTAAGATTTTATTTTTATTTATTTGAGAGACAGCGAGCATGTGTACACACACACAAGCAAGAAAGAGGGGCAGAGAGGGAGGAAGGGAGAGAATCCTAAGCAGACTCTGCACTGAGCACAGAGCTCCATGCGGGGCTCAGTACCACAACCCTGAGATCATGACCAGACGCTCAACCAACTGAGCCACCCAGGCGCCCCTCAACCCTTTTTCTAAGCCAAATCCTACACAAAAGGCCAATACATAAAGCAAATACAGTGAGTGGAGCATCCACAGTTAAAGTGGTGGCAGGGGCCACAGGACTGGCTCAGTAGGTAGAGCATGTGACTCTTGATTCTCAGGGTCTTGAGTTCAAGACCCATGGTGGGTATAAAGCTTATTTAATTTAAAAAAAATAAATGGAGGGCGCCTGGGTGGCTCAGTTGGTTAAGCGACT